ATATCTCTTATGCTCGCGTGTTGCGCTCTTCCTCTCCTCGTCCTTCCCGCCTTCCTCAGACTCACAACCGTTTCCGGGCCTTGGACCCTGATGCGCCCACTGCCCCTCCTTTGTTCCTTTGGGTTCTCTCCCGAAGGATCCTCCTCCTGGTCCTCTGTCTGGGGTTCCCCTTCCTTCTACCCGGTCTGTCGTGTCTCCTGTGTCTTCCTCGTCCCCCTCCGGTCCTCCTTCCCATCCTCTTCCTCCATCTATCGGCTCTCCCCACCGCCTGTCGGTACGGGCGGATGTCCATCGCTCTCCTAACGGCCGTCGTGTGTGCTCTCGTTCGGCTTCTCCTGTTGACACTGGAATCCGTTGCCCGGTACATAGTTGCTGGGACACCGGTCTCTTTAAATCAGAAGCGAAAGCCTGGCTCCTCTCCCTCTTCCCCGGCGGGTAAGAAGGCTTCGCTTTCTTCCTCAGCTCCTACTTCTGGCTCTGTTGCTTCTTCCCCTCCCGTTTCAGTGATTGCGCCCCCTGTTCCTGCTTTGGGGGTTTCTTTGGCCCCTGCTTCCCTTTCGGTTGCTGCTCTTGCTGAGGTGCGCTCCCCTCTTTCTACTCCCCCCTCTTCCTGCTGCTGTCCTTGACTGCTCCTCTCCGTTGTCTCCTCCTCTTCCTCCTCCTCCTCCTCCGGACCCCGCCCGCCCACCTCTTATCTGTTCTCCCGTTTCCTTCCCTCCGTCTTTGCTCAGTTTACCCATGCCCCCTAACCCTGACTTTGCTGACCCTGATCCCGACCCTGATATTCTTTAACGTGCTCTGTTGCTCTTTCGCCTTTGTTTCTTCCTTGTTCTGTTTTTGTCCTTTCTCTTCTCGTCGTTGTCCATTCTTCAATGGAACGTTCGAGGTTATTACGCCAATTTCCTCTAACTCCAACTTCTGATTTCGCGGTTTTCGCCCCTTTGTGTCTGTCTCCAGGAGCCAATGCTTGGTGCTCGTCCTGGTCGTTTTCGTGGCTATTCCTTTCTCTTCCCCCCCCCCCCCCTCAGCCATTGCTGGGGCTTCTAATTCTTCTGCTCTTGATTCGTGCCGATGTTCCCTTTGTTCCTTTGCTTTTTCCTTCGCCTCTACATTGTTCTGCTGCTCGTATCTTTGTGGGGAAATGGTACACAATTTGTTCCATTTATCTCCCCCCGAGTGTCCCGCTCTCTTCCTGATTTGAAACGCCTCCTAGACTCCTTGCCGGAGCCTGTGCTCCTGCTAGGTGACTTCAATTGTCGTCATTCTCTTTGGGGCGAAGTTCTGACGAATACCCGGGGTCGCCTCCTTGAGCCGTTTCTCCTCTCTTCTTCCCTGTCTCTTCTGAATTCTGGTGAGCCCACTCATTTGGACTCTCAGACTCGCACCCTTTCTTGTCTTGATCTTTCTCTCTGCTCTTCTTCTCTTTACTTAGATTTCACGTGGCAGGTTCTTGATGACCTCCATGGAAGTGATCATTTCCCCATCCTTGGTTTCCTTTTTTCTCTTTTCGCCCTTCCCTCTTTCCCTAGATGGCAGTTTGCTAAGGCAGACTGGACCCTATTTACCCTCAGTGCTGCTCTCTCTGACCTCTCCCTTGTGCCTCTCTCTCGCGCTCTCCTCCTTTTTCATGACACTGTCTTCAACGCTGCCCTCCGCTCTATTCTTTGCTCTTCCTCTCGTGGTCCACGGAAGTGCGTTCCCTGGTGGAATGCGGACTGTGCTCGGGCTGTCCGCTGTAAGCGTGCAGCCTGGAAGAGGCACCGCCGGAGGCAGACGACCGATTCTTTTCTTTTCTTTCGGAAAGCAAGTGCGGTGGCCCGTAGGGCCATCCGTACGGCTAAACGTGAATGTTGGGCATCTTATGTCTCAACAATTACGTCCGAAACCCCTCTGGCCCAGATTTGGAAGCGTATCCGCAAGATAGCGGGTAAGTTCGTTCCCGATGTTTCACCGGTCCTTCACCTCCATGATACTCTTGTGGCGGACCCGTTGCAGGTCGCTTCCGAACTGGGTTCCCACTTCATCTGTTAGCTCTGGTCTTCATCTTCCCCAATCTTTCCTTCTTCGTAAACCTGTCCTTGAGTCTCGTCCTTTAGATTTCTGCACTCATCTTCAGCTTCCCTATAATGATCCCTTCTCTCTCTCTGAACTTCGTTCTGCCCTGGCCCTCTGCGGTTCTACGGCGGCGGGCTCCGATGGTCTTCATTATGAGATGCTTCGCCATCTCCCTCCGAGCACGTCTCAGTAAATACTGAGTCTGTATAATCGGATCTGGGAGTCGTCGTCAGTCCATGAGGACTGGCTCGATGCCGTTGTCCTCCCTATTCGCAAACCGGGGTCTCTGGGTACTTCCCCTAAGGACTTTCGCCCTATTGCTCTCACAAGTAGTGTCTGCAAACTCTTTGAACGTATGGTTAACGTTCGTCTGATGTGGTTCCTGGAACACCATCACCTCCTCTCCCCTTCTCAATTTGGTTTCCGCAAGTGCCGCAGCACGACAGATGTCCTGGTGAACCTGGAGGTCTATATTCGTACTGCTTTTGCTGCGAAGACCTCCGTTGTTGCCGTCCTTTTTTACCTGGAAAAGGCTTACGACACCACTTGGCGTTATCATATCCTATCTCAACTTCATTCTTTTGGCCTTCGTGGTCATCTCCCTCTCTTTCTCCGCGGCTTCCTCTCTCGTCGTTCCTTTCGGGTGCGCCTTGGTACCGCTCTCTCTCCCTCTTTTCAGCAATACGAAGGTGTGCCCCAGGGTAGTGTTCTGAGCACTACTTTTTCTGGTTGCCCTCAATGGTCTTCTTTCCTCTCTTCCTTCTGGTGTCTTCTCCGCTCTCTGTCGATGATCTTACTCTTTGTTGTCAGGGTGATGATTCGCCTCTCCTTCAACGCCGGCTTCAACTTGCAATTGATGCCGTGTCGTCTTGGGCCACTGATCATGGCTTAAAGTTCTCTACTTCTAAGACTTGTGCCATGACTTTTACGCGGAAACGGGTTGTTCTTCGTCCCTCTTTGTCACTTTATGGTCATCCCATTGAATACAAAGATTCCGCAAAGCTTTTGGGGTTATTCCTTGACACTCGTTTGTCTTGGTCTCCCCATATCTCTTACCTCCGTGTTGAGTGCTCTAAGTCCCTTACCCTCCTTCGGGTCTTGTCCCATACTTCTTTGGGGGCAGATAGGCGCACTCTCCTTGCTTTACTTTCCTCTCTCGCCCTGTCTAAGCTCGATTATGGTTGCCCTGCTTACTCGTCTGCTTCTCCTTCTACTCTTCGCCGTCTTGATGCTTTGCACCATACTCGGTTGCGCCTCAGTTCTGGTGCCTTTCGTTCGACTCCCGTCCTTAGCTTGTATGTTGACACTGGCTTCCTGTCTCTCCAGGACCGCCGTGATCGCTACTGTCTTCGCTATCTTGCGCGGTACCCTTGCAACATCCTTCCTCTCGCCTCTGTCGTGCTTTAACTTTTACCCCTCCTGCGGTTCCTGTTCCTCTTCACCACCTCCCTCTTTCTGTCCGGTTATCTCGCCTGCAGGATTCTCTCTCCGTTCGTATTTCTGATGTTTCTCCTCGTGTTCCTTCTTTGCCCCCGTGGAGGGTCCCTCTTCCGCGGTTTTGTACATCCTTGACCCGTATCACTAAAGCTTTTACCCCTCCTACGGTTCTAAAACGCCTTTTCCTCGAGCACTTTTCTTACTCCCGCTCCGTTTCTGTCTTCACCGATGGGTCTAAGTCAGCGGACGGTGTTGGCTACTGTTGTTTTTCCTGATCGCACTTATGTGTCGCTTGCCTCCGGAGACTAGCATCTTTACAGCGGAACTTTATGCTATTCTCTATGCTCTTCGTCTCCTACTTTCTCGTTGTCAGTCTTCCTTTGTAGTTGTTGTTGACTCTCGTAGTGCCCTCATGGCTCTCGGGTCCTTTAATCCGGTTCATCCAGTGGTTGTCGAGATCCAGCATTGGCTGTTTCTCGTTCACAGTAAATTTAAGTCGGTTGAGTTTTGTTGGGTTCCCAGCCATATTGGTGTCTTTAAATGAGCGTGCGGATGCTGCCGCCAAGGAAGCTGTCCGCTCTTGTCCCATCTCTCGTAAGGGCATTCCGTATTCTAACTTTTACCCGGTTATCCATTCCTCAGTCCTTACCCGTTGGCAGGCTTCTTGGTAGTCCGTTACTGGTAACAAGCTACGTACTCTTAAATGTTGTTTCCTCGTGGCAGTCCTCCTTCCACCGTAACCGGCGGTGGGAAACAGCTCTGGCGAGGTTGCGTATTGGCCATACTCGCTTAACCCATGGTCACTTGATGGAGCACCGCCCTGCTCCTTATTGTCCTAGTTGCATTGTCCCTCTTACGGTCGTGCATGTCCTTCTTGAATGTCCTGACTTCCAGGACGAGCGTGTGTCTTGCTTTCCGACCGCCCCTCGCGGTCACCTGTCCCTCGATAGAATTCTTGGTGACTCGGATACTTTTGGTATCGTTCGCCTTATGCGTTTTTGTTCTCGTATTGGCATCCTTGGTGATATTTAGCGCCTTCTGATTAGTTTGCGTATATGATGGTGCTACATAGCCTTCCCGGTTTGGTGCCTTCTTTTGATAATTACTTAAGGCAGCGTCTGGTATGCTCTCGGACGCAAGTTAGAATCCTAGTCACGGCCCTTCTGGATTTGTTCATCTAATGCATCACTTTGTGATTTGTGATCCCTAGATAGTTTCAAGCGTAGGTAAATTGTTCAGTATAAGTGGGTGGATATAAGGAGCTGCATTGGATGGGCCAACAGCCCTTCTGAAGTTACCTTCATTCTGATGTTCTAACCTGCTTAGGCCTAGTTTTAATCGGAAGCTAATATGTCTATTAACTAGAAAGTTAATTAAAATATTTCAATAGTGAAAGCCAAAGTTGATAACAATGTATACTGTTGACTGAAGTTAAATAGGTGTTGCATCATCATACCAAAGCTTTAATCTTGGTAATCGAGTTTACAGCACTCCTTACTTATAGAACGACAGCTGAAACGGCTGAAACATCGGGAAGAAACGGAGGAGACCTATATTAACAAGACCTCGTCGTGGATAGTCGTTAAGGACAGGGGTTTTGAAGACCTTGACAAGGCTGCCTACAGACGCCCTAAGGACAGCAAATTCATTTGCCGTGTTTGACGACAAGTGCTGTGGTGAGCCTGCAGTTCACTCGAAACGGAAATCGGCGAGGAGCGGCGAAGCGCAGACCCCTCAGGCTGCTCAGAAAGTTGAGGTACCAACGCGAATTTTGGTTGTGGGAGATTCCCAGGTGAGGTATTTACAGAACGTTTTGTGCCAGAGATAGGGGGAACAGATTAAGGGTTTGCTATCCGGGAGCTGGAATTGGTGATTTTTGTTGGAAACATGAATGATATTATGATGGGAAATGGGAACAAACCCATTATTTGTATTAGTGCAGGGGGTAATGATGTTGGACGAGTTAGGAGTGAGGAACTAATAGATTCAGGACAACCATTGAACTAGTTAGGAGCAAGGGAGGAATCCTGGTATGTCCCTTTCTTCAAAGAAAGGGAGTGGGTAATGAATGGATGTTGAGGCCACTTGGTGTCACTTGCCGGCTGGAAAGATATTGCAAATCAAATTAAATATCTTTCATAGACAATTGGAAACACTTCTATGGAAGAAATGAAATGTATGCTCGTGATGGGGTGCATCTATCGAGGGCTGGGGTTGTTGCTGTTGCAAATCGTTGGAACCAGTGGTTAGGTGTTTGTTTGGGTTTAAACTGTTAGTAGTGTTATGGGAATTGATTTGGAGAAAGGAGGTAATAAAAGCACGTGTTCGTGGGAGAAAAGAATTGGCAAAATGATCAGGGAAAGAAAAGGGCCTCAATAACAATTCACTTGGGGTATATTGCACTAACAGAAGTCTAAGAAATAAAATTAACGAATTAAATGCTCTTGTCTGCACAGAAAAAAATTATGGGTATGCCGAAACATAGATGAATGTAGAAAATAGAGGACTATTAGCTTAACATAAAATAAATGGATTTAAACTATATCAGATATATTAGACGAGGGGGAGTAGCCATGTATGTTGGGGACAATTTGAAATGTAGTCTCAAAGAGGGAATAAAATCTGAGCCACCCGCAAACTATTTGGATAGAATTAAAAGAAAGTAAATATTATAATACGAGTTATATATAGGCCACCAAATTTAGGCAGAATGGAAGCAAAGCATCTATGGGATGAAATATAGCATCTAGATCTAATAATATTTGTCATGGGTGACTTTAACTTTAGTGGAATAAACTGGTTGAACAAAACGGAATAGTGAAGCAGAAGATTTTCTAGAATTAATTGAAGATTGTTTTCTCACACAACACATTAAGGAACCAACGCGGGAAAATATTTTAGATTGTGTTAACTAACAGGGAAACACAAATTAATGACATCGAAATAGGGAGTGAGCTAGGGAACAGTGATCAGAGAAGTCGGATTTAGCATGGAATGGAATAGACCTGTAGGAGAAAATTCTGTTAGTGCCAGATTTTCGAAAAGCTGATTTTAATAGCCTAAGAAATTTTTTGGGTCAAATAGATTGGGAAGTCTTGGGTATGGGGTGTGGGCCGGTCTTGGAGAGACATGAACCCAGCAATAGGTGACGTAAAAGGGGATTTCGATGTGGATTTAATATATAACTTGTTTAAGAATATTCTAAACAAAGCACAGGAATGTAGTATACCATACAAATTGAATAGATCAAATACTAATGACCCAAAGTGGATAACAAAGAATTTAAAGAACCTTATAGGTAAAGAGCTTGGTACAAAAGGATTAAGCATGGGAAGTCGGTTTAGAACAGGAATTCATAAAACTGGTTAGAAATGTTAGTTTCTTTTTACTTTCCTAATCTCTCTGAAGTTCGCATAGCAGAGCAAGTAAAGTAAAATCCTAAAGGGTTTTTTCAGTTATATCGAACTAAGACTAGGGAAAGGATAGGTCCATTAAAAGCTGACAAGTCAAATAAAGGACAATGACAGATTAGTATTTTTAACAAATATTTTATCTTTACTAAAGATTACTAAATTACCTTCTGGTGCACATTTGAAAACTGATCCACTTTGTGTTTTTAAAGGTTTTGAGTGATTTTCATTTCTTTGGTCCTGCATAAATTTACTCAAAATATTCCTAAAATTTGCCATTTTTGTTGTCTTTAATTAAATTGTATTTGCAGGTGGTAAATTGTTTCGGCTGCTACAGCTCTCTAGCCAAAGTTGTTGACTGGCTAGTCTTTTACTGCCTCCCAACATGTTAGTGACGTCCTGAGCTGATGTACCCTATGGCGAAGAGTGAGGCACTAGTTTCCTGAAGTAATGTATAGCATGAGATGGCACCCATTCTAAACAGCAGCCGGCACCAACTCTGGCCGACATTGGAGTGGACAAGACCCAGATCCTGTGGGGAGGAAAAGTCTACACTAAACAGTAAAAGGTACAGATAATCTGACCCCCCCCCCTTTGGCAGTTTTTCGGGTACCCCCCTCTTTTCCATTTCGTTATTTTGTAAAGCTTTATCCTAAACGGCAGCATAGCTTGGCACTCGTGGCTTTAGTGGGACTGTTCCATTGGATTGTAACTGTGGGTGGGGGGAAAAGCATCTCTAGTTTTGTTCTGCATTGTAGTCTCTCTTTAAACCATTTTAATGTTGCATTTAACTTATTGTTCTTGACAGTTTTGCAAACTTATAGATTTTCAGTGAAGAAATTGGTACCATCCTGTCTGACTTGCAATGTACCGTTTTTATTAATGGCAGTTTCATAAAGAATGACTTATTTGCTGGTATTAAATATCCTCCAAAGCAGATAAAATCGGTAAAGTGTCCATGCCTTGTCATGATTTATTGGGCTAATGAGTGTTGTATAACTGCTTTCTAGAGTGTAGACTTTTATTTTCAGGGTGTGGGTTTTTCTCACTGAAGCTACCACTCGTGCAATTTTGATTGGTGATTGTGACTTAGTCCTCCTCGTGATCTACGGCAAGGTAATATTTTTAGCATTTATATTATGCTGCACATGTTAAGCTTTAGTTTTAAATTAGCTTGTCTTCAAATTACATGTGTTGATGACCATTTTTGTATGGGCTTCATACTCTTCACTTGAACATGAATTAACATCCTTAAGTCAGCCCAAAAAAATAGAATATATGGTTCTGCGATGTTTAGTAATTTGTAAGACCTTTTCACTATTTTTAAACTATTGGGTTTTATCCATTGTAAGTTATTAAATGTGCTTTATCTTACCAGTAGTGTGGTAGGTTTGGAAAGCTTTAAAAAATCCATGTATCTAGTTGCTGGAGCTCCTATATTAGGAGCTTAATTTGCAAAGTAAATTTGCATGATAGCCTTGTTTATATAATTTTTGGGGAACCAACACTTTAAATATTTATTGGAAATGGTGACTGAATCCTACTTTAGATACCAAAAAATAACCAGAGCAAAGTGTACTTACAAAAGTAGGGAATTGTTCCATTAAATTTAGATAAAAATAATCAGTTTGGTAGTTCCAGGGAGATTTGTGTAGTCAGTCTACTATTGTGAAATGTAATTTTATTAATTATGCCAATGCTACGTTTTATATTGAGTCTTTGCACCTGTTTCCTAAGATTGACAGCATGAGGTGAATCTTCCAGCTTCGGTCTTGAAGTTGTAAATAATTATGTAATAACTTTTATTTAAGAGAAAATGAAATTAGTGTAGCATAGGCTTGTATCTCCCTTGGGAGAGTTGTCAAACCCATAGATATTTCCTTGTCAAAATACTTTAAAGGTTGTAAGTTGTGCCTATTGTAATTTAGCATTAACGTATTGTCTTAAAGGGCATGACAATGATTAGGTTTATAATCTAGTATCTTGGCATAGACAACAAAATTGATTCTACTTAAATACTAAATTGTATAATTATCAATTAACATTGAAGCACAATGAATGTGGTACTGCAGTTTAATAATTATGGTCCACAATTTTGTTAAAAATGATTGAATATTTCCAGAAAGTTGATTGTGGCCATACCCGTTGGAGTAGTAAAGACAAACGTTCAAATTGCTCTTCTTGATGTAACCCCCAAGCTGTAGGCTGCTGTTATTTTAAGAGGTAATCTTATTTTACTTGTGGAAAACTGGCCACTTTAATGATTAATCTCTACTCGATATACAGGCTCAATAGTCTCTGTAGTAAATATACTCTATTGTCAATGAAGTACACAAGTCTTAGGTGATCCATTGGCTGAGGAAAATCAAAGTTCATTGAAATAAATTTATTGAGGTAAAATCCAACATGGGATGAGGTAGCTAAGGCAGTTCATAACTTGTTCTTATTGGTAGTCCAGTAATTTTTTAGCTAGTATGTTCCATAATAGAAAATAAATGGTTGTTAAAATGTTCATTGCACACACCATAATGGTCGTCAGATGTCAAATGTCAGACTAAGGGGTGAGATTAGTGGTAAATGTGACATTGATCAGTGCATTGTTACTAGATTCTTGAAACTTTCCCTTGCATGGTCAAATTTATTATGTAATTTTAATTTGTATCTATTGGTTTGGTGTGCAAATGTTATTGTAAGCTTCATAAACTTTCTAATGCGACTTGTTATACTGAGAGCACTTTATGAATATTAAAGTACCTAAGTTCATAATTTGTTAGCTTAATAGTAACAATGTATACTAAAATGTATTATTTTCTCTTGACAGGTGGAGACGTATTATCTGAAATGGCTGTTGCAATGTATTGAAATTAAATTTTATTAAAAACTCTGGGTTAGTTGAAGTCGCTTATTGTAAATAGTGATGAATTGTGGTATTTTAGTTGTTTCTCTAATTTTATTGAAACGAGCTTTTTCAGTGTTTTGGAATGTTTAATAAGGTTCTTGGCACCATCTGTCTCTACTACAAATTTACTTGATTATAAATATATTGGTGTTCTGGGCAGTTTACCTTGTTTGAGCAACAAGGTGATGCAAGGCAGTTTTTTTCCCAACTTGGCTGTAGTTGTTAAAGCCAAACGTAACTTAGAAACGTTGGTTGCAAGTTTGTAGTGTGGTGCATGGGATTGAAGGAATAATCACCGCTCCACATTGATAAGATAGATTCCTGTTGCATTGAAGTCTGCAAGTTGAATAAATGTTTTGGAAAATATTGTAGTTATAATATTGTACAACATTGTGTTAATTAGAATAATGATCATAACTTGGTGAAAGGGTGGTTATCATATTGGTTTTAAATTTTATAATTACTTTTATTATAGTAAATGTTTGTATATGAAGGTAGTTAAAATCTAACTTATATATTACCTGTTGGTAATATAGTCGCCAACATCAAACTTAAAGTATACAAGGCATTATAGTAAGTCTTTACCAAAGTTCATGTATATTAGGATACTTAATGTAGGTGTACATAAGTTTAAAGTTGAAAAATAACGTTAATAGAACACAATTATATAGATTATCATTGCCCATACTATAGATATTAGTGATAAGTTTTCTACTAAATGAGGTCCATCTCCTTTTCTGGCTGTCGTTGTCGTGACGTAACACGACAACGACGGGGGGGGGGGGGGGGGGTGTGAACGCACAACTGTCAGATTAGTTTCACTTCACATCTGCAAGGTGACAATCTTTCATAATTTCACATTCAATGATCTTGTAATATCGACACATTGGTTTTTAAAAACAAACCTCACTTTTGATGGTATCACCTTTTGATAGTAAGACCCTTCAGCCACGTATCATTCTTGGTGGTGCCAGGTGCCCTGTTCAAGAGTACATCCCCCCTCACTCATTGTAATAAGTGAGGCAAGTTCGAGCACGGTGCCCTCAAATGCACAAGTCTTTTCTCTCTGCCCCATGTGTGGGGACGATAGCCACTCTAAGACAGATTGCTCATCCCCCGGGCTCGCTACCTAAATTGAGGAGAGGCCCACCCTACATTCTCTCGCACGTGTATCGACTCAAAGCTTGAAGTAGTCCTTAACTTGAAACACCAGGATCATTTGACTTTTCCCGAGGCAAGATCCTGGGTTCGATCCCAGGCGCCGGCGAGAAACATTGGGCAGAGTTTCTTTCACCCTATGCCCCTGTTACCTAGCAGTAAAATAGGTACCTGGGTGTTAGTCAGCTGTCACGGGCTGCTTCCTGGGGGTGGAGGCCTGGTCGAGGACCGGGCCGCGGGGACAATAAAAAGCCCCGAAATCATCTCAAGATAACCTCAAGAGAAGACACGGTTTGCAGTGTCCACCCCTTCACTGGCGTATCTTATGCTCGCACGTTGTTCTACCTCTCGTCCTTCCCACCTTTGTCCAACAACCGTTTCTAGGCCTTGGACCCGAACATGCCCACCACCTTCCCTGTTCCTTTACGTCCTGGGTCGGAAGGTGTATCTCGTGAATCTCCTTCTGGATTCCCCCCCCCCTTTCCTTTTCCTACCCTGTCTGCCAAGTCATTTCGTTTTCCCCTATCCTTCCTGTCCCTCCCCACTACCTCTTGGCCCTCCACGTCGCCTGTCTGTCCAGGCTGTCAATCATCCTCCCAGCAATCTTGATGTTGTTCACTCCCATTCTTCACTTAAGACCCTAGTCAGTCGGCCAGTACGATGTTACTGGAACACCTGTCCGTCAGAAACGTAAGCCTGGCTCCTCTCCATCCTCCTCCCCCTGCGGGTATGAAAAGAGACGGCATTCCTTTCTTCCTCGCCCCCTAACTATTGCTTACTCCCCATTTTATTGGTTGGGGCCCCCTGTCCCTAATGTGGTAGTTTCTTTTGGTCCAATTCCCTCTTGGTTGCTGACCTAGTTTCTACACCCTATCCTCCTGGCCTTGACAGCCCCCCCCCTCCCTGAACCCTGTCAATCTGCCTCTGGTGTCCTGCTCTTTTTTCCCTACATTCTTACTAAGTTAACCCATGGCCCGCTAAACCTTATTCTGATCTTTAGCTTTTTTAACATGCTGTGTTATTTACTTGTTTCTTTGTTCTGTTGCTTTCCTTTTATTTTTTTGATAATGTCAATTCTTCAATGGAATATTCATGGGTTTTATGCTAACTCCCATGAACTCCAACTTCTGTTTAGGTTTCACCACTTTGTCTCTGGGAGCCGATGCTTGGTCCTCGTCGTGATAACTGTCGTGGATATTCCTTTCTTCCCCTTCCCCCCCCCCCCCCTTGATCTTGCTGGGGCCCATAACTATATTGGTCTCTTGATTCGTACTGATAATCCCTTTGTCCTACTGTTTCCATGTCCTATCCATTATTTTGCTGGCCATGTTTTTGAGTAAAATGTAGTCTGTTAAATTTTTCCCCCAAATGTCCCTCTTTCCCTTCCTGATATCAGGAACCTCCTGGACTCCTTAACAGAGCTGGTGTTCCTGTTGGGTTATTTAAACTGTCGACATACCCTTTGGGGTGATGTTGACACACCCGAGGCGGCCTTCTCGAACCATTCGTTCTCTTCCCTGAATTCTGGTGAGCCCATCCCATGTGGACTGTGACTGTCACTTTCCTGTCTTGATCTTTCTCTGATCGTCTCTGTACTTGGATATCTCGTGGAGGGTTCATAACCTTCATAAGTGACCATTTCACCATCCTTGTTTTCCCTTGTCTTTTCACCCTCCCCTCTCCTTCCCTAGGTGGCAGTTTGCCAAAGCTGATTAGAACCTATTCACCCTCCGTGATACTGTGACCTCTCCTTACTACCTCTTCCTTGCACCCTCCTCGTTTTCATTAGTCTTCGATGCTACCCTCTATTCCTTGCTCTACGTCCCAGGGCACACGGAAGTGCGTTCCCTGTACTGCGGATTGCTATGGTTGTCGGCTGTAAGCGTGCAGCCTGGAAAAGACTGACGCTGGCAGATGGCTGATTCTTATATTTTGTTTCAGAAAGTGCAGTGGCCTGTTGGACCACCTGGACAGCGAGGCGCGAGAGTTGGAAGTGTTTCCACCATTACGTCAGACACTCCTCTGCCCCAGATTTGGAGGATTTGCAATATTGTAGGTAAGGTCATTCCCTATGACTAGCAGGTTCTTCACCTCTGTAATACTCTGGTGGTGAAGCCAGTGCAGGTCACAACCGAACTGGGTTCTCGCTTGTTAGCTGTGGTTCTAATGTTCAATTTTTCCTTAAACACGTTTTTGAATCTCGTGCCTTAAACTTCCACACTCGGTGGTACTACATAGCCTTCCCAGTTTGGTGGGTTTTATAAATTTTTACTAAATGAGGTTTAAGTTCTTTAAGTGGCAACAAATGGCAAATACATTTAGATCTGTGTACAGTTTGCTTATCTATTTAAAATTAAATCCCATTTGATCCGCAAGCAAGAGTGATTTGGCATGAATCCTGGGCGAGTAACTGTATCATGTGTTTAACGGTGTAAAATTGGTACCTAGTTAAATTGTTAGTGTTCTGGGGTAACATGGAATAAAGTTATTGGCCTAAATGGTACGCATGCTTGTGGCTGTACAAGAATGAAAGATCTGTCGTATTTTTTTTTTGACATAAATAGCAACAACTCTTGAGTTTGCTTGGCATGTTTCAAATGTTACCAAAGATATATGGGGGAGGGGAATCGTAAACTATAAATTTGAAATACAAATTTTGTAGCATATAAACCTTAAATGTAGACTTCAAAGAGCTTTATCTTCTAATTTATAAATTAGATATGGTGGGGGGGGGGAGTAGATAATTTGTTAGTGTAACTTTAAAATGACACATTTCAAAGTTAAAAAAGATGAAATTGCTATGCAAAACCTTATTAACCATATTTAATGTTCCATTGACAGGTTGTAGAAGGTCCTTCCAACATACCTTCAGGAACAGTTGCAGAACAATGGCTGGAAGTTAAATGCTACAGAAAGTAGCATAGTTGTCATAATTAGAGGGCCAAAGTAAGTTTATTTAGTTTAATAGGTAAAATGTGTTTACATAATTTTTACCTAAATATTTCATTAAATTGTGAAGGGGCCTTGAAATGGGGTAAATTGAAACTAGTTTAAGGCCTTGACTAGTGGGTACTATATCCTAAAGTTAATTCTTGCAAGAATTGTGCTTTGAATAGAATAAATGGGACTTTAAATTTGTGCACTAACTGTTAAACGGCATAAATTTCAATTTAAAGATTTTAAGAAATGTTTTATTTAAATCTTAATTTGTTTGCATGGTTCTTAATTATTTGGCTAGAAGTCATTCATTTATAAATGACACAAATCACAATGTGATATTTCTAATGCACAAGGGCTGTGATGAGGGGTTCAAACTTATGTCGGAGGATCCCAGATGTGCTTTAAGACTGTGCCACAACATGGTAAAAGAATCCCAACTGGGAGGTCTACTGACATGGGTTTAATCTACGTTTGTAGCTTAAAAGGCTATGTTCATAAATTAAAGAACCATTTAATGATGGTACAGTACACAAATTAAATATTGAATGTTAACTGTACTTCAACTTTATCTATTTAAGCTTCAAATAAATAAACTGTCTTTCAGAATATTGATGGGAAAGTCTAACTTCAGCCCTGAGTTTGAAGGTGTTAATTGCTTGACATTCTGAAATAGGAGAGTGTGGTAGTAAACATTATAACTTAAACAATCACTCATTATGGCTGAAGATAATCTGAAATGATGCTTACATGTAGATAAAATAAATTGCCGACTTTAATGTACTTATGGTTAGTCAAACTAAGTTAAATGTTTTTGTTTGATTAGCATTAAAGGAGAATTCTAACAATCTTAATTGTAAGATTAAAAGAACCTGCATATGTAAAATCTTGTTTAACAAGCTAATTTGGGTAAATGTTTCAGGTGGTATGGAAGATTACAATGTCATCAAAGCATTGACTGGCTTCAGTGTGGTTGTTCTACTCTGCAAATCTACGAAAGTTGGTATGTGGAATAAAGTGTTTTAGCTATGTCAACTAATTAATTTACTTTCTTTCATCTAGTCCATTTATAGATGTGTACCAAAGTCCAACTGTTACAACCTGCAGGGATTGATGCAGTTTGTACTGATCCTACCCCATTTCATAGAAGGGGACCAGGCAGTCCTGCAGATTTCCCTGGCTTGGCTTTTTCAGAGCCCTGCTCTACTACCCATCCAATAGATGGACTAGAATTGCATAGGTGTAGGGACCTTTAACAATGTGCAAACATTGTTAATCACTACAGGGCTTGTTCACTGAAAGAGTGGATACATCCAGAGGTTTAGTGCCTGGAACATGATGTACATAGGCTTTACACAAAGCTTATTTACATCATGTTGGGCACTAAACCAAAAGATGTGATGCACTCTTTCAGCCAACAAGTCCTGCCTCAAATGGAAATAAGGGGTAGGCCTTGCTGAGCCTATCTTAAAAGATAGGCAGTTAGGGGTTTTGGTGCTTCTAGATAGGTGTTAGTGTTAATAAAATGAGTGTCCCTGTTTGATATACTTTATTTTTGCTTTACAGGTGGATGTTGTCCTTGGTACTCTGGTGTTTTCACTGGCCTTTTGATGATCTTTGAGTCTTCAGTGGATTGAATCTAGGAGGAGCAGCTTCCCACAACCTGAAAGACAATAGTCAATATTAATGTTACACTGTAAACTATGAAATAAATATTCCAATGAAACTTTATACTGTACTTTATCCTGAAATTAGCAAAGATTCCATCATGCTGAAAATTACTGATGCAAAGAACTTGTGAAATTTATAAATAATTTCTAAAGTGAAAAATTAATTGACATCACTAACTTCAGAGTTTTCTGCATGTAATATGCCAAACTGGATTAAGCTGATAAATCTAAACTAACATTACTAATTTGCAAAGTATCTTAATTTTACACTTTACTAAAATTAAACTTAACAATTGTATGGACTACATTTAAGGCTAAGCAACATCCACTAATCTTTCAATGTTTAGAAGTGTTGTAAAAAAAAAATACGTTGACTTAAATGTCAATCTAAAACATCTATACAATATGGTTTTTCACCAATACCTTACTAAATGCCAGACCTGGAACACTGTGGTTCCAGTAATCAGAAGTTAATTATAATGGGCTAGATATTAAAACTTGATAGGAAAGTATGAAACTACCTATTGTCAATAGTAAAATCCAACTCTGAAAGTTCTAGTATAAGAAAAACAATATTAGACATGACCAGTCTGCCTTATTATTTCCTGGACTTTGATATGTCCTACCAAAGATTTTGAATGAAAATTTCATTATTCACACCAGACATCCCATAACCACAAATGTTTCAAGCTGATGAATAGAAGTAATTAAGGATAGTATTGTATAATACACTACCTGTAAAAAGTACCATAAAGTGGAAGAGCCTTACAAACTAAAATTTATAATTACCACATGCCTAGAATTTAATCCAAACTTAAATGAACTCTCAGCCAAAATTACTAAAGTTAAAAGATGTTCATAAGTTTATCTAGATTTCAAATGTCACTCAAATCTTCGAAATAACCAAGCACAAAACTGTCAGATTAGTTTCACCTCGCATCTGCGAGGTGACAATCATTCAATGATCTTGTAATAACACATTGGTTTGTTAAAAACAAACCTGGTCACTTTTTTGTGGAAATGGTAACCAGCTATTCAAACAAGACTTCTGGTACACATGTCACTTGCTTGCTAAAGGACCATATGAAAGAATAGGAGGGAAAAAACAGGCACAGAATCAATGGTAGAAACTCAATGGTAACAGTCAAATTAAAGCGTCCTAAACAGAAATGACTGGAAAATTTTGCGAGATTCATACCACAAGGGTCTAAACCTTATAAATCGATGACATCAAACACCAAGATTCATAGAGTAAAAAAAAAAAAACAATGATATCGAGGCCTTACAAAGATCTACATGAACTCTAAAAATGGTTACAAGACTGACAAATTCTTCTTAATATACAAATAACATTGTTCTGGCTCACATGCAAGGTTTTACAATCCATATCACAACTACCACATTAACATTACAACGAAATAGAACGATGAAATAAGGACCTTCGAGTATGAATCCATCATTCACCAAAAGTTGATGCAGTGAAAGGTAAGGTAATTATCAAAAGAAGGCACCAAACCGAAAAGGCTACATAGCACCCTCAAACTGCGAAATAATCAGAGGGCGCAAAATATCATCAAGAATGCCAATACGAGAACAGAACGCATAAGGCGAACGATATCAAAAGTATCCGATTCACCAACAATTCTATTCAGGGGCAAGTGACCGCGAGGGGCAGTCGGAAAGCAAGACACACGCACATCCTGGAAGTCAGGACATTCAACAAGGATATGCACAACTGTAAGAGGGACAACGCAATTTGGACAATAAGGAGCAGGGTGGCGCTCCATTAAGTGACCATGAGTTCAGCGAGTATGGCCAATCAGCAACTTGCTAGAGCAGTTTCCCACCGACGGTTACGGTGGCAGGAGGAAGGACACACTACGTTTGAGAGTACGCAACTTGTTACCAACTACAGACGACCAACAACCCTGCCAATAGGAAAGGATGGAGGAATGAATAACAGGATAAAAGTCGGAGTAAGGAATACCTTTATGGGAGATGGGACAAGAACGGATAGCTTCCTTAGAGGCAGCATCCACATGCTCATTTAAAGAAACACCATTATGGCTGGGAACCAAGCAAAACTCTACCGATTTAAATGTACTAGAAATAAGAAACAGCCAATGTTGAATATCCATGACCACCGGATGCACAGGATTAAAGGACCCTACAGCCATGAGAGCACTACGAGAGTCAACTGCAATCACAAAGAAGGATTGACAATGAGAAAGCAAGAGACGGAGAGCATAGAGAACAGCATAAAGTTCTGCTGTGAAGACGCTAGCCTCCAAAAGGAGGCGACACATATAAGTGCGGTCAGGAAAAAAACAGTAGCCCACACCGTCCGCAGACTTAGACCCCTCGGTGAAGATGGAAACAGAGTGGGAGTGCGAAGAAAAGTGCTCAAGGAAAACGCGTTTCAGAACCCTAGGAGGGGTAAAAGCGTTAGTGATGCGGGTCAAGGACGTACAAAACTTTGGAAGGGGTACTCTCCACGGAGGCAAGGAACAATACGAGGAGAAACATTAGAAATACGAACAGAAAGCGAGATAACCGGACAGAAAGAGGGAGGCGATGAAGATGAACAGGAACCACAGGAGGAGTCAAAGTTAAAGCACGACAGAGGTGAGAGGAAGGATGTTGTAAGGACCTCGCAAGATAGCCAAGATAGTAGCGATCACGGCGGTCCTGGAGAGAGAGAAAGCCAGTGTCAACATACAAACTGAGGGCGGGAGTCGAACGAAAGGCACCAGAGCTGTGTGGGGAAACTCCAGGCAGCTAATCTCTTTATTTAAATTGACTTTAATATGATAAAGTTATGTCTTATTTATTTTTCTAAGTAAGAATTAATTGAGTGGACTGTATATACTTGTAAACTGCCTGAAATCTTCTTACACACCAATGGGAGGGACAATTGGTAGCCTAAACCACTTTGTTATGGCTCCTTCTTAAACTACCAATTGTTTACCTTTTATTATTATAATATACCACATGTTGGGTATAACAATTCGTAATTTCAAACTGCGAATACGTGCAGAGAGCCAGAATTTGGCTTCAAAATTTGGTTCAGACATCGAAATTGGGTTATTTGGGATATTTTGAACACTGCAGGGGAGTTTGGGCAAAATGTGACTCACTGCCACGTCCAGTACTTGACATATGTTGGGTATAAAAAGTAAGTAATTATCAAAAGAAGGCACAAAACCGGGAAGGCTATGTAGCACCATCAAATACGCAAAATAATCAGAGGGCGCTAAATATCACCAAGGATGCCAATACGAGAACAAAAACGCATAAGGCGAACGATATCAAAAGTAACCGAGTCACCAAGAATTCTATCGAGGGACAGGTGACCGCGAGGGGCGGTCGGAAAGCAAGACACACGCTCGTCCTGGAAGTCAGGACATTCAAGAAGGACATGCACGACCGTAAGAGGGACAATGCAACTAGGACAATAAGGAGCAGGGCGGCGCTCCATCAAGTGACCATGGGTTAAGCGAGTATGGCCAATACGCAACCTCGCCAGAGCTGTTTCCCACCGCCGGTTACGGTGGAAGGAGGACGGCCACGAGGAAACACAACATTTAAGAGTACGTAGCTTGTTACCAGTAACAGACAATCAAGAAGCCTGCCAACGGGTAAGGACTGAGGAATGGATAACCGGGTAAAAGTCGGAATACGGAATGCCTTTACGAGAGATGGGACAAGAGCGGACAGCTTCCTTAGCGGCAGCATCCGCACGCTCATTTAAAGACACACCAATATGGCTGGGAACCCAACAAAACTCAACCGACTTAAATTTACTGTGAACGAGAAACAGCCAATGCTGGATCTCGACAACTACTGGATGAACCGGATTAAAGGACCCGAGAGCCATGAGGGCACTACGAGAGTCAACAACAACCACAAAGGAAGACTGACAACGAGAAAGCAGGAGACGAAGAGCATAGAGAATAGCATAAAGTTCCGCTGTAAAGATGCTAGTCTCCGGAGGCAAGCGACACATATAAGTGCGATCAGGAAAACAACAGAGTAGCCAACACCGTCCGCTGCCTTAGACCCATCGGTGAAGTGGGAGTGGAGAAGAAAAGTGCTCGAGGAAAAGGCGTTTTAGAACCGTAGGAGGGGTAAAAGCTTTAGTGATACGTGTCAAGGAAGTACAAAACTGCGGAAGAGGGACCCTCCACGGGGGCAAAGAAGGAACAACACGAGGAGAAACATCAGAAATACGAACGGAGAGAGAATCCTGTAGGCGAGATAACCGGACAGAACGAGGGAGGTGGTGAAGAGGAACAGGAACCGCAGGAGGGGTAAAAGTTAAAGCACGACAGAGGCGAGAGGAAGGATGTTGCAAGGACCGCGCAAGATAGCGAAGACAGTAGCGATCACGGCGGTCCTGGAGAGACAGGAAGCCAGTGTCAACATACAAGCTAAGGATGGGAGTCGAACGAAAGGCACCAGAACTGAGGCGCAACCCAGTATGGTGCAAAGCATCAAGACGGCGAAGAGTAGAAGGAGAAGCAGACGAGTAAGCAGGGCAACCATAATCGAGCTTAGACAGGACGAGAGAGGAATGTAAAGCAAGGAGAGTGCGCCTATCTGCCCCCCAAGAAGTATGGGACAAGACCCGAAGGAGGGTAAGGGCCTTAGAGCACTCAACACGGAGGTAAGAGATATGGGGAGACCAAGACAAACGAGTGTCAAGGAATAACCCCAAAAGCTTCGCGGAATCTTTGTAGTCAAGGGGATGACCATAAAGTGACAAAGAGGGACGAAGAACAACCCGTTTCCGCGTAAAAGTCATGGCACAAGTCTTAGAAGTAGAGAACTTGAAGCCATGACCTGTGGCCCAAGACGACACGGCATCAATTGCAAGTTGAAGCCGGCGTTGAAGGAGAGGCGAATCATCACCCTGACAACAAAGGGTAAGATCATCGACATAGAGAGCTGAGAAGACACCAGAAGGAAGAGAGGAAAGAAGACCATTGAGGGCAACCAGAAAAAGAGTAGTGCTCAGAACACTACCCTGGGGCACACCTTCGTAT